GATGAAGGAAATGTTGTACAACTGGAAGACTTTTCAGGAATTAATTGATTTCATGGTAGTTTGTGTCACAAGTCGGCATTAGCTCCGGATATCTGTTTCATTCTAAAAGCCAACTGTTCGGTGGGTGTGCGACTGCATCCCTATTGGGGTGGCGGGGAGCAAACTCAAGACTACCAGACCTCACTGAAAGCTTCTTATCATTCATGCAGCGAGAAAACATAAACAGTCGGATCCAGACTCAGTAGCAGAACAGTAAAGTGCTCATTGTGAAGTCTGATCACATTCGGTTCAATCTCACATTGAATAGTACCTTTTATACTGGTAACGAGTCATAAAGTTTGCACCAAGGAGTCTTCTAAAGCTTTTTTTAGGTTTTATTGGTGTCGCCTAGGAATATCATGTGGGGCGAAATTGGTCCAAATCTCTGTAGCGGTATGTGTTCACATTGATAGAGAAAGTTTTTACGATATTTAGTTATATTCAGGCACACTTATACATCAGTTGTTAGCTGTTTATAAGATTGATAGCCTCTTGCATGTATTTAGAACTTCATTGTTTCCAAACTAGTTCATATCATGGTTTAATATTTGTCAGGAAAAAAAGGCATTAAGCAGTTGTTTCTCTCGGTTTTCAAACCTATACTCGTCTTCAATCTTCGACTCCTTCTAATGTAATATTTTGAAAAATCGATGAAATTCTGTCATTATGCAATCGATTGCATAAGAGTGTACATAAGTCAACACTAAGTTAATTAAGTAACGTTTTCTCTTCGACTTCATATCTTGAGTTATTGTATTACTCCTTTTTTTACCCCCCGTAGCTGACACCAATCACATATCACAAAGCAGTAGTAAAGAAGGTGGTGATAATAGTGAAGTAGGCAGTAAACTAGCCTCACTACCACCTGGTGGACCACCAGTCAACTTAAAAGACTCTGGAGATGAAGGTTCATCAACCAGCTGTTCACCATCAGAGAATGCTGGTGCAAAGACAGTCGCTTCAGTGGCCGCCGCCGCTGCAGCTGCTGCTGCCAGTGCTGTTGCGGCTGAACGCAAACTTGCTGAAGTGACAACAAAGTCGAGAGATTTAGAAGCCTCGAATACAACTCTTCAAAAGGAATTATCTAGAGCTCATGATCAGGTGAGTGCATTTTGAAAAGAATATTGTTTAGTTTTCTTTGATTTTCAAAAATGACAATGAGTCTGTCAGTGTTTCTGCCTTAAACTAATTATGAGCAGTTGGTGGCACAGTGGTTAGGACTCTCGCCGACCATGCACATGATCAGAGGTTCGATCCCCTGCCGACGCTCACCTGATATCTATGGTCGGCCTGTGAAATTCGGGCTACCGATATCCATGCTGAAAATTCCATACTTGTACCAAAAATACGGTGTAGAATCAATCTGTAATCAAAAATTTAAAAAATAAAATAAATCTCAACCTCTTGTAAATTATTGCTCTTTGTCGCTATGGTTAGATGGTTGGAGGCAATCAGTAGGAAGTCTTGGACCTAAGTTTCATGGCTTTTGGCACTCACCAGTCATTAAGGCGTATCTGAAGTCTTGGAAGAACTCATCTCCCTTCTGTCATTTGAACCTAGGTCATCCAGTTCTGCGTTTCGTTCTCGCGACTGAACTCCTGTAGGACTTTTATGGATACTCTCATCGGTTACTAGGTAGTAACTGATGTCTTGTGTTTACTCCTTTGTGTTTGTCTGGGATGAATTCTATCAATAGTAATGTCTGTGACTGCAGTTCTGGTTTGAATCTCAAGGGGACATGAGTTCCTTCAAGATTCCAGATACTCCTTGCAAACTGGTGAGTGCCAACAAGCACAAAACCTGGGACTGACGCTTCCTGTCGATTGCTTCCGACCATCTGATAATAAAGATTCAGAGGGCACGATGACGGCGAGCCATCATCCAGCATAATGGTCACTGATAGTGACCAATCAAAGTATATTTCTCGTTGTATTTGTGCTTGGTCATGTGACTTTCCTCACTTCATCATTATCGTTATCCCCAGTAAATTTAAATTCTTTTTACAATAAATAGTTCCACTATATAACTACTAATGGTCTCTGATCTCCTCCAAGTCACCCTCGGAAGCTCGACACGTCGTCTCCCATTCGGGTTCCACTTGAGGACCTGGCATATTATGTCATTCAACGGCCTTCTCGAGCTGATTTCAGAGTGATGAAGGTTTTTTCTTGCCTTTCCGATCCTGTGTGACCTTGACATCCCCCCATTCATGTTGCTCGTCGTTGCTACGATGATGCCAAGATAAGTGAAGGAAGTGACTTGTTTCAAATTTATCCTTTTGATGATACTGGTTGGTGCTTGATGTTGTTGGTTGGTTATCCTCATCACCCCTGTTTTCTCTATGTTCACCTGGAATCTTACCTTTTCTGCTTCTTCCGCCAGTTTGTTAGTTTTCGTCTGTTAGTCCTCGAGTTCTTATGACATTACATTACACATGAATCGTCCGCGAAATCCTGATCTTTTATAGTCTTCTTTTCGGTCCAGCGTATTCTGGTCTTCTCACTCCGTGCGGTCTGCTCCCTAATTGAGTCCACCACAATTAGAAACATCGTTGGTGATAGTAAGCAGTCTTGTCTTACTCCTTTTGCTGTACCAAATACTGAAAATTCCACGCTGTAACCGTAGTACTGCTTTGGAATAAAGCTAAAGAGGACCGCAAAGAATAAGATTAAGTGGAGACGTGCTGTTGAAACCTAATGTTCCTCTCGGAATTCAAGGCAATAATAATAATAGTAGTAGTAGTATTAATAATAGGTAACTACTCGTGTAACTTGCATTTGCAATTGTCTTGAGAAACATGAAAATAAACGTAAATGAGTTGCCGAGTATAATAAATGGCCATTGTGAAAGGAAGCTTCCTTTATTCTGACAATTTATAGTAGTCAGCTGATAGAATAGCATGTTAGCCAAAAACAAAATCTGTTACCCTTGGTTGCCTGGTTGCATTTTCAGGTTTCTTTGACTCTAGATAATTAGTCACAATGATAGGCTAATTATTGTTGTCGTCATCCCGTGGATATGTGATTTTCTAATGGATATATGTGAAAGATTATGTGAAATAATAATAATAGGCTTTTATTCTTGTTGTCTACAAGTGAGAATAACTGAATTCAGTTATTTGAGTGAGTAGTATTCAATGAGAAGAAAAATGCGCCTTGGTAATTACTAGCTTATCATGGAGTGTTTTATATTCTATCCTATTCTCTATGGGATAGACTTCGATAGATAGACTGCTATTGGTGATGTTGTGAACGATCTTTGAAGGTGAATTGAAAGCCTGACTCATGGCGATAGGGTTCGAACCAGCAGCTGGTGGATTACTAACTCAACGATCTATATAATCAGCTGAGCTACGACACCTAGACCATCATTTCACTGCAGTTATTGCGGATAGATGTCGTGGTGCTCAGGTGGTAGATCACGAGACGGCTTATTCGAATCGTAGTGCAGTTCAGGTTCTCATCTTATCTTCAATCAACAACCATTATAAAGTCAGTGAAAAAATTAGTAATGATAACCGAACCAGCAAATGAGTCTTCCCTGTCTTCATTTCATCATTGCGACTAATCTATAAATTATTAGATTTTGAGTTTTCAAAAGAATGGATACTGAACAAAGAGTACTCTTTTCGATAACCTCTTCATCATCAGGCTCTACAGATATATATGCATTATAGTGAATGAGTGAATTAGTGTCATGAGAGACATTAATGTTGTTTAAATAACATCGAATCAATAATATTGATAGATTACAGCTCAATAGCATCAACATAAAATAAGCTGAATGTCAGAAAAATTAGGGAAGATAATATTACAAATTCATGAATTTATAGTCTCTACTGAAGGTCAGGGCAGTAGTAGGGGCTGGACTTCCTTCTTTTGAACACAGAGCACTGGTTGTTTGAGGCGAATCGCAATAGTCTCTGCTGTTTGGATCATGCGGTGCTTCGATGATTTTGGCAATTTATTAGACACCCGGTCGATTATAGAGAAGGATCCATTCACGCTGGCTGGCTTTGTGGCCGGTTTGTACCAGGTGGTCCAATATGGAACTGCTGATGGTTTTAACTACACCTTTACTTAGCCATAGTGGAAGATCTACTCGAGGACGAAAAATCAATTTCCTAGAGCAACGGCCAATATAACTCGCTCCATCACAACCGTAATTGAATTGGTAGATACAATTTGAAATGGGTAGTCTAGGTACTTCATCTTTCAGTCGAGGTAGCACCATCTGTCGTGTAGAGAATAAGACGTGTAGTTCGCCAGTAGTAAAAGTTCTTTGAACTGATTTTCTCAATTTCCCCTTAATTGTCTCACTTGGTATATCGCCCTTGAATTGCAGTCGTATATATATAGGCTTCTTGTTTACAGATAGTGAGTAGTCCTTTTCCGCTTTCTTTGTCATGTGTTTCTTGATAAATTTTTCCGGATAGCTATTTTCGATCAAAGTATCACATAAAATGCTTAATTCATCTTCAATTACTTTTTCTGAGCATAAAGCTCTAACTCTGTGGCTGAGGGTCTTCACTAAATTTCTTTTGTACTTGATAGGAACGAAGCTGTGAAATTTCAGGGGAAATTTCACCATGAGCCGATATCATTTAGCGTATCAGTAAAAACTAAAGAGACTTGGAAAGTTATTTTGTCCTAGTTTGAAACTCGCCAGAATTACCTACTGAACACCTTGGGATTAGATTCGTGAACGATTCGAGTTGGTTGATCATTCAACCTGTGTAGGTTAAGATCCAGTGATCCGTGAATTACTGCCTCTGTCAGTTGATGATATAACAGGGGGAGTGAACTGTTGACGAGTTCCAAACTTTGATGAAACAGTTTTCAGGTGCTTATTGATGTTAGTTTAAAACTAAAATGTACGCTGACTCCATCAAACGAACTTCATTCACTTACAATAACTGTAGCATGTATTATTTTATTTTCACTTGTGTATTTAAATTATTTGATATATTTCTCTTTCCTAGATTTCTCGTTTACAAAGAGAACTAAGAGAGTTAGAAGCTCAACGTGAAGATCAAGAAGCGCGTATTGCAACACTGGAACAACGTTATCTTTCAACACAACGTGAAGCTACTGGTACTTTGGATCGACTAAGTCGAGCTCAATCAGAGTTGATTACTCGTGAAATTGAATTAAAACAAGTGAGTTAGAAAGCAAAAGAAGACTTGATTTTTTTTTATTCTCAAGTTAGACTACTGACTAACACCAGTTGGAGAACCACTGAAAAACAAGTAGTAATGTGTTTCGTCTTAAGTCTAGGACACTTCAGCAGTTATTCAACTTTGTGTCTGTGATGAGAATTCATTGGTAATCAGTTCATTAGGGCTGATGAAATTTCTGAAATAAGTGAAATGGTCAACACACTTAACCATCCCGCTTTTCTGTCTTCATAGTAGGAATCAGTGTGAACCAGTCCTGCAGTGTCATCTTCTATTTTGCAGGGTTGAACCTCGTGCCAAATTTACTAACATTTATATTCAAGGTGTGTTCAGAGATCTCTGAATTTTGTCAGTGTCTTCAGCTAGAAGGACAATTTAATCTTTTTTTTGATCACAGTTTGATTCCACACTGTATTTTTGGTACAAGTATGGAATTTTCAGCATGTCTACTATGAATCGAAGAAACTCCATTCTCACAACATGGTAATGCCGAAGTCTCTAAATGCAATCAGGCTCAATTCTCTTATTTAATTGGTGGATGGTGACTAGCAGTGGAATCCAGTCAGGACGCGCATTTCGTCCTAGTTGGGACTCGTCATCTGGATGTACCTGCATTTCTCAGTGAGTGATGATGTTCTCACCTAGGCTCGAAAGCAGTGCCCATAGTTTCAAACGCTAAAGCATTATTCACTAGACCATTGAGGCCACGAGAGCCACCTCTTGTGCAACGGGTCATATTAATTTAATTGAATTTTTGATTTTCCCGTCGATTGATTGGACCGAAGTGCTCGGTTTCAGGTTGACACGTCGGCTTCTTGTGCAGATGCTTCGGCAATTTCTGGCATTTTGTTAGTATTTAATTGGTGGGTGGTGACTAACGGTGGAATCCAGGATGCGAATTTCGTCGAGGCATCTGCACAAGAAGGCGACATGTCAACGTGAGACCAAGCACTTTGGTCCAATCAATCGACGGGAAAATCTTAAATTGAATTAAATTAATTCTCTTATGTTTGATCATGGATTGATGTCAGTTAGAGAAACACTGAAAACCACCAAGGAGTTTCTGGATATAGCCCTTTCGTTGTAGTCTGGGACTGTTCACGTGTAGTCACCCATGACCACACCACTGCCAAGATCAGACACACCAATCCAATCACTAAAAACCAACACTTGAGAATTACTCTCACCAGTACATCCATAGTGAAATTAAACAAGAGTGTAGACATTGTGTACGCATACTACTGGTTATCTATTACTTCAAATGACAACTCTTCATAGACTGTTACACAACTGCATAAGTGGGATAACAATAGTTATCTAGGCGTTCATTACACTAACCTCTGTAATAAATTCATTATTTATATATATAGTGAAGTGATAATTGTGAGGGTAATTGTTACCTCTGTTAGTCTGTTCAACATTCCATAACCATTATTGTGTTGGATCTGTGTCTATTCTTTTGTCTGTCTTTCATTCTTAATAATAATCATAATAATAATCGAGGTATTTCGTGTATATTTAATATTCAAATCATCTTGTGCAGGTGTGTGTGTGCGTGTTTGTGTTTTCTATTTTTTGTTGCGAAACCCAGACACTTCATTATTTTGTCTACATGACTGTAATAGATGTTTTATCGACACATCACTATTTAGGTTTAGTCATCGTACTTGTCAAACAATTAGGCCACATTATGCGGTTGACTCCTGAATTATTCAGTTGGCCTTACAGTTCACGTTAACAATTGCATAACAGACAAATGTGTAATAAAGTGAAGAATTTAGTGAATGGTATAATTATTCTTGGCTTCAGTTTTTGTCCTCCTGAAAATCAGAAGCAAAACACGGAACATTTCTTTTTTTTTATGTAACTTTTTACCGTTGTGTAACGGTTTTTGTTTCTCGTTCCCTGCTTACTTTTTAATAATAATAATATTAACAGCTTTATTCCAAACGGTATTTGTGGTACAGGTGTGAAAATTTTCAGCGTACATTACAATATATTGCATCTAATTACCTCATAAATTTTATAAGATTTTTAAAATCAAAATAAAAAAATAAAAAAACCAACGCCAAAAAAATGAAAGATAAATAAAAATTAAAAAAAACAGCTTTGCGTTTACATTTAAAACAATGCACCACAGGATATGAAATATAAAGTTGATGTGTGATAGAAGATGAGAACAACAGTGTAATAGTAACGAGGAAAGGAAAACAAAAACTAATGAGACTATTTGTTAGAGTGCCACAGTAAGTTGATCGTGTCATACCTAACGGATTTCTCATACCATAACAGCCGTGCCAGATATGGTATTGTGGAGTTTTTGTATTTGGTAGTCCTAGCATATAGCCTCCTATGGCTGCTTCTAGTTCTACTAGATGAAATGCAATGAGAGAACTGCGTATATAGAGAGGATGCTCGGGGTCTGACAATATTGTATTCGCTAGTTTCTTACATGACATTATATGTCTATCCAAAATAGTGTTAACCAGTTGGTTTAACGATATCCCACTTACCCTGCTAACAGCTTTTAGTGCCCTTCTCATCAGGGAAAGTCTTTCTTAAGTAGTCCAGGAAAGACTAATGGGGAGCAGTAAAGGGGGATGGGTAGAATACAAGAATTGACAAACTGAGAAAGCAAAGAGTGCTTTATGCCAGACTGCTTAAATTTCCTAATGTAGAACGTTAAGCGAAACATCTTTCTAATAACTAGCAAGATGTGGGAAGACCAGGAAAGATCGGTGGAAAAACTCAGCCCAAGGTACTTGACATTAGATGTATTTTCAACCTCTGTGCCGTCAATGATAGTGGGGCCATGTGAGCTAACTAGTTGCTGTAGGTCACGTTTTCGTCTGAAAGTGAAATTGACTACCTGACATTCAGACGGATTTAGCTTAAGACCGTTTGAAGAGGACCATTGGCTAATTTCCGACAGGAAGTTATTTAATTTGGAACAATCTGACTGAGAGTTGACAGGCATAGAAACCGAGAGGTCATCAGTATACTTAACAAAAGTGGCTACATCAGAATGAGGCAAGTCATGTAAGAAAAACGAAAACAGAAAGGGAGAAAGAACAGCACCTTGAGGAACACCAGCTAAAGTAAGTGAGGTAGTGGAGGACATTCCATTGTAGATGGTATACTGCTTCCTATCAGAAAAATAGGAATGCAACCACTTATTTGTCCAGCTCTCAGCCTGTGTTGCAGCAAGCTTACTTAGCAAGAGAGACCTGGGAACAGAGTCAAATGCAGATGTGCAATCAAGGAAGGCACAGCGAACGTATTTAGCTCCTTTATCTAAACTAGAGACTATACCATGATGAAGGACAACAGCAGCACCTAACGTACACCTACTATGTTTATAAACAAACTAGTTGGGGTCATTGAAAGGCTTTAAAGAGGGTTCAAGATTAAGTAAAATAAGTCTTTCCATAACTTTCAAAAAAGGTGAGATCATAGCAATAGGTCTAAACTTAACCTTAGGTCCACTTGTTGATTTAGGCACTGGAACGATCTTGATATTTTTCCATGATTCAGGTATAATACTTTTGGAAAACGATTCGTTGAAAATGTTAGTTAATGGGGAACACAAGATGTCGGCACACTTCTTAAGGATAACAGCAGGAACACCATCAGGACCAAGGGACTGAGTAGGTTTCAGAGATTGAAGACACTTGATTATTGATATATAGCTTTGCATGTCTCTACCTTATTGATTATTATAATTATTATTGTTATTATTAACTCAGTAGCTTTTACTCACGGCTGACAACAGTATCCGGTTTATCTCCAACCTGCCAAGCGACAGTTGTAGCGTAACTGTGTCTCCAGCATTTTGGATACATGTATGAATTTCGTGTCTTTGAATACTTCAAAGATTGTATGCACAGTACCGTCAAAACCGTTTCAGGGTTGGTCACGAGCTGACCTCATTTAAGGAATCATTGAGAAAACTGAGAGTACAACCAGGCAGCTGTTTCGTCCTAGTTTAGGAATTGTCGACAGCATCCATCCACCGGAGTTCGAACCCGATGCCTTCCAAATATAAGGCGAGCTCGCATACCATTCAATTACTGGGTCCTGATTCAATGGTTCATGTGTTTCAACTTCTATCAATTTGTGATAGATATTTAGCGCACTCCTCAGCCAGTGTCATATACGAGTAATCGTCCTGTTGCTCGGCTTGGTGGACCTCGCTGACTACGAATTTACGAACTGGTAGCAGGTGGAATTCATGAACCATTGAGTAGGGTTCCAGTGTCTGAATGGTCTGCCAGCTAGCCTTGTAACTGGAAGGTCCTAGGTTCGAAAACTGGTGGGTCCGCACCGCCGATGATTCCCAAACTAGGATGAAACATCTGTCCAGTACTCCCTGGTTTTCAATGGTTCTCTCACTGACACCAATTCGTGATCTAACCTGAAACAAATGGAATCCCTACTAATTCTTGAAAATAAAATCTTTTGGTTGTCTGTCGAAAATTTTCGTTTACTGTGGTTTCACTAGATTTCTTTTCTCTACTTGGACATGTACGTTTATGAAATGTGCCAAGTTGAACTAATATACATTTGTACAAAGTTCTCTGTCAGTAATTCGGTTCATTTATGTTCTGTTTTGATATCGTTGCGTCATGCTAGTGGCCTTCTTCGTATCCATCACTGGCAGCTTACCCTCAGATACAAACATACATGTACATCTATCTTGTTTAATAAAATCCAATAAGTACAAAAAGTTCGTTTACTTTGATGTTATTTTGATAGTTATGTTGATAGTGATGGTAGAAGTGGAATCCATAATACGCATTTCGTTTTATTTGTGACACGTCATCTGGATGTACCTGCATCGCTGGTGAGTCATCATCGTATTCTCAGTGCAGCCATCATTTCAAACTGTGAGGTATTATCCATCAAGCTAATGGGCCAGGGGGATTATCATCACTAAATGGAGAGATGCTGGCATATCCAGATGATGAGTCTTAAATAGGATG